AACTGTACAGGACATTTTTCTCATGGGTGAAAACTCAAGCTAGGAAATGCAAAAATAGATGGAAGAAATCTGAGAAGTATAAAGTACTTGCTTAAGAGCAGAGAATCATGTATAGTTTGGGTTGCATTTATTGTGGGGTTTTTTCTGTTTTTATTCTTGGAAAAGCTGAGAAGTCATAGCTAAGGATTCCAAGGCTTTTTAATATTAATATATTTATGTAATCAGAAGTGTATCACATTTAACTTTTTCTTCATGTGCTGTCTGAAGGTGTTGGTGAAAATTTGACAGATCCCTCTGTGATAAAAGCTGGGGAGAAAAGGTAAGGCTAAAGAAAGACTTGAAATATTTTAAAATTTTCACTGGAAAGAGAAGACGTGCAAGTGATGTTTATGTGCACTTTGTTTCTAAGGTCATATGATATGGTGTTTGGTCCAGCCAATCTGGGAGAGGATGCAATAAAAAACTTCAGAGCAAAGCACCACTGTAATTCCTGCTGCAGGAAACTGAAACTTCCTGGTAAGAGCTGCAGGAGCCTCCTTCTGAGACACTGATGTAATGAGATGTTGTATGATACATAATGAAATAGTCAAGGCATGCTGTGAAAGTGGAACAAGTAATAAACAGCAGTTTTGTGATTTGACTTTAGGCTTCTAATTGCACCTATGATAAAAACATCCCTTTTTTGACAGTGCATATCCTGGAATTCATCTTCCTAAGTGCATTGACATGTCCAGTTCTTTGCTAGACATTTATGCCCCCTTGATTCCACTAGGTCAAGACATAGTAATCATTACGAATTTGCTCTGTTTGTACAGATCTGAAGAGGAATGACTACACACCTGACAAGATCATATTTCCTCAGGACGATGCCCCTGAATTGACAATTCAGCCTGGAAGCTGCACCAAAGATTCTGATCCGGCCAATTCTATTCGTCTGATGCTCTGATGATGTGACCAACTCAGTGGCTTCATTCAAACTTCGTGGAACCTCACAAAGTTGTCATTTACCTTTCCCTCACTATAATGAAAAGAAAGACTTGTCAAAACAAGGATTACTGTCTTATAAGTGGAATTTTGGCTGGTCCATAATCTGCGGATTTTATGACTTGTGATAACCATCTACAGAGCAGCGTGGCAGCTGATCCTTCTAAAGGTGGAATAATGACAAGTATTTAAGATGTGTTTTTAAAGGGGCTTTTTAAGCAGAAAGTTTTATTTTTTATTTTATTTTGGTTTAGTGGAGGATTTATTTCCTGTAGTCCTGTGGTGGGAAATATGCCTTCCACCAAAAGGATTTTGGTAGTTGATGTTTTGAGGTAAAGCATTTGTCTTACTGTCAATGAGCAAAACCAGGAGAAAGCACCTACCTCTGTAATGCCAGAGTATTCTTAGAGTGTTTTCAGAAGTGTTCCACTAATATTTTCTCACCAGGTGTCTTTTAATCTAGCCTTTTGAAGAGGACAGAGCCAAATGAGGTGTATATAGGATGCCAATAGACTGAAGTTGAAGGTAGGAACTTGATCTGTTCCACAAGAGAGAGTCTCCTGAATCAGGATTCTTTCAGCTTCATGACTGTAAAACTGGGCTTGGTTGCTTTTGTTTTGTGAAATAGAGCCTGAATTGTGCATAATGAAATTTCTTGTTTTACACATTTCAATTTTATCAAGTCACTGTCAAATAGTAACAAAGCCATGATAGACTGGTATAATCATATTTAATAGAAGAATTAGTTTGTGCTGGTCCAAATAAGTTGCCTTGTAAGAACACAAGTTGGAAGTGCTTTCCCTTGTATGTACGTAGTGACTGCTTCAGAAGTTCTGCCTTCCAAAGATCTCCTAAAACCAGTATATCGAAACCGAATGTACACATAACTTGTAAATGTATTTAAAATTGTGTAGAAAACATCTTTAATGTTATGTTGTTTGTGGTACTTACTTAAGAGAGACTAGGGTTGGATTAGCATTGTGTAAAGTACGGGAGATTGCAATGCACCTTCATGCCAATAAAATGTAATTTAACTGTCCCAAATATTGTTGAGCATTCAGCAAGAAAAGAACCTGTTGTCCAACTGAAGTTTCATGCTGCGATTTTTTTTTTGTTACATAGGTACTAATTTGTAATTTTTAATTAAAAGGGCAGTATATAGCTCTATAAATTTTTTATTCAGTAGTGTATCTTATAGATACAGACCTAAGGCACGAACACAATAGTTGTTTAAATGGTGTTTTATGTTTGATGGGGAAAGGTAAAATGTTATAAGGATATAATACTGTATACATTTTGTATATCATTAAATCTTTAAAGAATCTAAAATAAATTTATTCTTGTTTACAGACTTCTGCTCTCCGTCTCAGTCTGAAAGGTTATTTTGGTGAACTTAAGTAACTCTTTATGCAGAAAAGTAGAATTTGCTGCGCTGGATCAAAGTAGCTGTTAGCCTTTGAGGTATCACAACTTTGGCCAACACCAGAAACTAGGGAGGTAAAAAAGTGAAAAGTGTCATAGCTGCCAGAGACATGTGAGGGGATTAATGAGCAAATGAGTCAAAAATAGCTCTTCACTAATTAGGAACTGCTTCTCCTGACTGCATCACTTGCTGTTGCTGGGAGGGAATGGGCAGATATTCCAGATGTACTTGCACCTTTCTAATGCCAAGTAACAGCAGCACTGAGTCTGTAAGTGTGACTGGATCTGCAAACTGAGAGACATTTCTAGAGGAGCTTGGTGTTTTGAAAATGTGACCAAATCTTAGTATATGAAAGAAGAAAATAATTTTGAGAAAATTGTAAAAGCTGGGAAACTTTGTTTCTTGACAAATACTTAACTACACACAGTTATTTTTTAGCTGTGTTACTACTCTTCAGTAGTTCTGCTTGTGACTCATTTCTTAGCAAAATAAACAGATGTGACCACCTTGTGATGGGAGTGAGTGATCATGGGGAGTGTTCCTTCTGCTCAGTCTTGCAGTGACTCAGGCCTGAACCTTTTTCAAGACCAAAAGGGACAAACGTGGTTGGGAAATGCCTGTAGGATTTGGAGTGGTTATCACTGTTTATATTTCTGTACATCTGCCTGGCATGAGCAGGAGCTTACTCTGTGTGACTTACAGCTTGAATTACATGGGAAGAGCATGTCTACACTGAGCGGGGAGGAATGTGTAACTTTCAGAAGTGATTTGCCTCGTACTTGCAGGAAAAAAAATCATAAATGTCAAGTACCCTTTAGGGAAGGAACTGGAAAAGTGTGGTGGCAAAGGACAAAAACAAGTTGGTTAGAAAAAGAAGCCTGACTCTGTTTGGACAGTGCCACATCCTGCTCATGTTGGGCAGTAGGAACATGAAAATTATTCCATGAAATTCAATTTGTTTGAGAACATCAAGTGTCACTCCTCTGCTGAAACCTCATCAGTCTTGAAATACTCTATAAATAGGGAGGAGTTGTGATCCTTTAGCTTTTAAATTTCCTTTACATTACCAAAAAGGAGGAAAGTGATGGAACTGGAACTTCTGATGACTATTCAAGGACTAAAGTATTGGCATATCTTCTTAGAATCTAGCTTTTAAATACAGGAAAATAATTCAAACCCACTCTAATTATTTTTTAGTCAAAATCTGAAGTGCTTCAGTGAATTTCCTACTGGAAGGGTATTTAAGAATATTTATCATATAGGGAAATTAATAAGCTACATAATTTAGACTTTTAATTAAGCCACCAAAGTCACTGTTGACTGCTTCCTTGCAGTATTTAGGTGGTGAAACATTTCAAAGAAAACCAATCCCAAATGCATTGTGGCAAAATATATACAAACAGCTCCTGGGGAGCTGTTTTTTTTAGCTGCTGCTCAGCAGCCTTGTGATTTGGAAAAGGAGGGGTTTGGTTTTCAAGCCTGACAGTGATTTCCCACATGTTAAATCTTTGTGGTTGCATCTCACTTAATGCCATAACTCTTAACAGTGCAGGAATTTGGAGAGGGAAAAAGACTACAGCTGGAGAACTGTTACTTGGTAGTAACAGTTCATATTAAATGTTCCTAAAAGACCAGTTGGGAAAAAAATTGGACTTTGCAATATGTAAGAAGGCCTCTGAAAAAAAAGTTCTGATGCTTTAATATTTCTTTTCTCAATTAATACTTCCTTGCAATAACCCACTTTGTAGTGAGAGTAATGGGAAGTTAATTCTGAGCTTGCAGTTGATAGCACCCATGTGGATTTGTGTATTGTGCTACATTAAAACATTAAGTCAAAGTCTTGATTCAGATTTCCACAAAAAATGGGAATAAACATATCCAGTTTCATTTATAAAACTAAACCAGATTTTGAGGGGTCAACAGCAGTGACAGCTGTCCCAGGAGTGCCAGAGACATCCTTTGCTTGAAGTTTAACAAGGAAGATGATTAGGAGATTTTTACATCACTTCATGGGCCTCTTCTGTGGGTACTTGTTACTTCCCAAGTTGCCTGTTAAATAGGGAAAAACTGCTGCTCTTCAGTGGCATATGGAATTTAGATATGCATTAACATAGCTAATTAAAAGCCATCTGCCATACCTTTTTTTCTTCCCCCAGGAAAATCTTCAGAACACAAAGAAACTAATTCAGTATGATGTTTTGAGGTAGCTCCATCCTTTTATGGCCAAAACCCTCGATTATTACAGCCCTTCCAGCAGAGCATGGCAATAATAAATCAATCCAAGTGAGCAAACGTGGATAAAGGTGTGTTGGGCCAAAGCTCCCTGCTCAGTGGAACGGGTGGGTCCCCCTCTCTTCCCAAAGTTTTCTGTTCTGGCTGGCGCATAGAAGGAGATGGAGGCAGTTCTGGCCAGGGGTGTTCCCTGCCCAGTGTTACCAGGTGACATCACAAGGGGCTGGAGCAGGAGAAGCTGGGGTGACAGGGTGGAACACGGGACTGAACACGGGGCACTGCTCGCCTTTGCTCTACGGAGATTGCTGTGGTTTTAGAGTTCTCTGCCCTGCCTCAGAATAGAACATCAGCCTCTAAAAAAGAACAGCAATGTTGGTGAGAGATGTGGGTGGTGTAGGGTCTGCGTTCAGCATCTCGACTGTCTGACTGGGGATGGGGACAGTTTCGTCCAGAACAGACTTATGCAACCAGAAAATAAACCTAAAATTTTCCTAACATGAATTAAGTAACATTTTATAGCAAAGATCTGAAGAACAACCTGTTTATAGTAGCGTCTGGACTGCAACCTATGGATTTAGAAAATAGGTGAGTACTGTACCCAAGGAAATAAAACATAATGTAAACACTGTTTAGCATTTTGCCCAAAAGACAGCTATTCACAAATAGATGTTGTTTTTGAATAATTGTGTATGGAGCAAAACACTGAATGGAATTTTAGCAATAACTCTAAAACTTCAGGTGTTTAAATAATACCTCATAATGATGTATCTTACCATGTTGGAAAGAGCTTAGTGGGGAAGATGAAGAGTCTTCACCACTATAAACCTGGTAAAAATAAATGTGAATGTAATTTTTAAAGAAGAAACGGTAGCATTTTAGATTTCCACTGCTGTGGATTTTTCTCGTAGTAGGTGGAAGGATGGCATGGAAGTGGAGGTACTCCCCCAAGGAAGAGCTGGAGGACATGAGCAGCCTGCAGCCGGGGCTGACGGGGCTGCAGAACCTGGAGAACACGTGCTACATGAACGCGGTGCTGCAGTGCCTGTGCAGCCTGACCCCCCTCGTGCAGTATTTCCTCTCGGGGAAGTGGAACGTGGCCCTGCACCAGTGAGTCGGATTGCTCACAGTACCCAGAGCTTTGAGCTCGGTGCTATTTCCCTGCCAGAGGATATGTGTTGCCATGAGAATGTCCAAGGCACCTGCCAGCCTCCCCCAGGCAGTTCCAGTCAGATTGGCCACCAGCTGGTTTCTTTCTCCTTTGAGAGCCCAGCTTGTTTCCTTGCTGGTCCTTCCACATGATACTTTTCTTCCCATAGATGGGAATACCTGTAACTGTTGTCTTGATGATGATTCCTACCCCTTTCTGGGATCTGCAGAGTCCCTCAAGCCAAGTGACAGCTGCCAGAGCTGTACTGTACCAGCATCAGTTTTCTGAGTTTCTGTATTGTGCTCCCATTTGAAGGCAGACACTATTTTTTCATACATTACCTGAAACTCTCCCCTTTTTTCCAAGGGAGATTGGAGAGTCTGCGACTGCTTTTGGCTGTCTGGTGTCTGACATGTGGCTTGGAGAGTTTGACTATGTTTCCCCTGAGGCTTTTCATTCTGTCTTTGGGAAGCGGTACCCAGCTTTTAGCAGGAGGACTCAGCATGATGCACAGGAATTCCTCATCTGTGTGCTGGATGACCTCCACGAGGCTTTCAAGCAGGTGAGAGCCCAGCTGTGCTGTTTTGGGAACTACAGCTGTTTCCTCTGCATTTCATGACTTAAGCAATTACATGGAATGCTACAATCCTCTTCTGAACTCTATGATGAGGCCACTAATAACTTTCCTGTTCTACCTTTTCAGACCCATTTACACACAATTATTAATTTTCTTCTTGTCTAATGCTCCATCAAATTGCAGCCTTATCTAAATGACAATGCTGGTGGTAGCTTCACTGTCCTAACCTCTCCCTCTCCTTTCTCCTTCCACAGCTGACGTTCTTCCACTTTCTCATCTGCCTGAAAACTTCACATCTGCCATGCCCCCATGACATCTTTCTCCCCTCCAGAGCCACTGATAAAGAGCTTTTCAAGCAATTAATGCTATCAAATGTCTGAATTGTTGTATTTTTGTTACTCTTCTCTCAAAAAAGAATCAATCTTACTCTGCATATATGAACCATCAAGTAAAGTAACAGCATTTTAGAACCATGTTCTGTGGCAAGACTAACAACTGATCAACCCAGGGAGTGGGCAGCACCCATTAAACCCCAGTGAAGGCACTTCTCAAAACAACTGCTTACCTACATTTTGTCAATTTTTTTCCTTCTCTATAGCCAAGCCAGGAAAGACAGAGCCCTGCTGCGGGAGCAAGCACAAGGAGTAGCAGTGGCACATCTATTATAACACAGTTGTTTGAGGGACAGCTCAGCTATGCTATCAGGTGTCTGACATGCAAAGCCCTCAGTGACAGACCCGAGAGCTTCACCGTCCTCTCCCTGCCCATCCCTTCCACCAGAGTGTGCTCTCTGCAGGTACAACAGCCAGCACATTCCTGCTGTTTCTGCTTCATGTGGGAGTAGAGGCTTAGACAAACAGGTTTTATTGGAAAAACGCAGGGGTTTAGTTACTTTGTTCTCCTGGGCACTAATGGATAGTCTTGGATCTGCTCCCCAGAGAAGTGGGGTGTCTTTACTGGTCTCAGAACCATGGAGGTTGTTAAGGTTACAGGAGCAATGCTCACGCGTTGCCAGGGGATGAAGGACATTAAGATCATTCAATAGCAGCTGTGAAGGCTTCTTCCAGTCATCCAAGTACTTCAGGTTTCTCCCAGTCATCCAAGTATTTCCCACCTTGGTGGGGAGAATGGAAGCCAATGCTGGCTGCTTTGTCTTTTGAATTTGTAATGTCAGCCTTGCTGCACCACACTTAGTTAGGAGGAGCAAATTCATCTCTCAGCAAATTCAGGCTTAGCACCTTCATGGGTGGAGGGAGATCTGCTCAATCAAGTGATGTCTGTTTTTTTTCCTTTGACAGGACTGCCTGGAATGCTTTTTTCAGCCAGACACACTGACTCGGAACGACCAAATCCACTGCTACTGGTGTGGAAGCAACCAAGATGCAACAGTAAAGGCCTCCATAACCAAGGCACCACAGATCATAATTTTTCATCTGAAGAGGTATAGTCTAAGTGGGGTAGACAGTCCCTGTATGATTCCTGTGAATCAGTTCCTGTGGCAGCTGAGAGAGCCTGTGGCTTGGATTCCAAGAGCAGGACTGTCACTGTTTTGCTTGCTGTTACTGCAGTTGAGACACTCTGGTTTTGTTTATCCCTTTACTAAAACAGGCCTAAACAGAGTGGTGCATCAGCAAAGGAGCACCTGGGTTAACAGATTTCACTAGCCACACATAACCAGCTGCTGAATTTACTCTAAATAATTTTTTTCTTAACAACTTTCCACCTATAAAGAAAACTACTCTGGGATGATTTGGCTTCCCAGAACTATGTTATTTGAAGTTCTTATTTAATTTTCCATTCAGCATCTGCTTTTCTCAACATTCTCAAATGACATGTGGTCCCCAGCTGCAGCTCTTGGCCACACTGTAAATGTTTAAAAGTGCAGTGATGTACTCAAAAGTTACAGAGGGAAGAGGGATGAAGTCTGGCATGAGAGAAGAGCTGACACTGGCACTGCAGTCCAGTCCAAAATGTTTAGGACACAGAGAGAGTGATGGAAAGAAGTGACTTCAGGCTTTGACTGAAGGATCAGGAAGCAAGGGCTTTTCTTTTCTTGCTGGACATAGCATGTGGGTTTAGTGCATTTTCTGTCAGTTTACTGCAATACACATTAACAGATATCTTTCTTTCCAATGCTGGGTAGTCAGTTGTTGTTTTCCCTCCTCCTAGGAAAGTCAGTTAAGCAATGACCACAACACAAACAGAAGCTGAGGGTCATTTAAAATCATTCAAAAATTCATTTCAGGTTTGCCTGGCAGGACAAGAACAGAAGGAAACTCTCAACCACCGTTTGCTATCCGTTCAGCGATCTGGATCTCTCTCCCTACATCTCCACATCGTGTCACAACAATACAGAGTACAGCTTGTGTGCTGTAGTGGTAAGCTTTGCCCTCCCTGCTTTTATTGGGAATGCCCTGCCTTGTGGAGCAGATTAAGCCTGTGTTAGTTTGAACTTCACGTATAATGATTTATAATTTAATGCATGTTTTGTTGTACACTTTGTTCTACCAGCCATGGACATAACCCAGTAACAGCACGTAACTGAAGGACAGAGACATTACTTCTTCTTCCCCAACATCCCATTTTTAAAAAAATGCACTCCTGGCACATAATGCCTCTTCAGAGTAAACTCGCAGGCTGATCCAGCATGAATCCAGTTTTTAAATAAGGACATGGCTCACAACAAGTGGGGTCCTCTTATCTTACCTTATCTTACCTGTATCAGGGCTAACAGTTGGATTGCAAAATAAATAAGCATGATCATCACCCATTTACTCTGTTTGCAAGAATTTATTTGAATTAACATTCTCTGCTCTACGCCAAAAGAGGCTAGAACCCTCTGTGCCATCTTTTCCAAGTGCATACATAAAACAATTGCCAGTTCCTAGCTTTGCCTGTAAGGAGACAGAACAGGAGTCTGGTTTTAACAGACTGTGTTGTTTGTTACAGAACCATGCTGGAGATCTGGATTATGGCCACTACACGGCCTTCTGCAAGCACTCAGTCACCAAACACTGGTACAGCTTTGATGATGCCCAGGTCACCAAGATCCCAGACTCTGCAGTGCAGGCTGACACAGCCTACCTCCTCTTCTACATCTCCCAAGGCTACTGACACCCTATTAGTCTTGCAAATGAACACTGAGTAGGGCAGCACCTAGAATTCACCAGCAGCATTAAGCAACTCCTGTTTCATCAATAAACTAGAGCATGTGCACCACTGATCAGCTGTTGTGGTCTTTCAGGAAGTGATTCCTAGAAAGGACAGTGACAGCCCCTAAGCCATGAAGGAATGTGCATCTGCTCCATGTGCACAAGGGCTGGGGTTGTTTTCCATGACAACCTCCTTGCACCCCTCAGAACAACATGGATGTTGAGCACACGGATGCACTTACCTGGGAATTCTTGTTTTTCTGCTGGTTAAGTATAGCAGGTTGTTCTAAGCTGCCTTTCAGGAACTAACAGAAGGATATCAAAGTGAAAGCACACAACCAGACCAGACTGTGCTACAGAAGAGAGGATGGAGTGACCATTGATATAGAAGAAAGAAAAAGGCATTGCTCTACTGATGTAATTTTTGTTTCTCCAGCACTTCAAACTTGTTTGCAGCTTGCAAGCTTCTGGAAAACAATCAATATTGGTCTTAATTCCATCAGCAAGACAGACACAGACAGGTAAAAGCTCAGAATGTAAGACTTTTGAATGCCAATCTTACCAGAAAAGGAAAACTAACCCTAATTCAGAGCAGAGAAATATGAAAGATGCAACTAAAAGAAGTTTTTAAACTAATCAGCTCTATGCAAAACAATATTTTTATCTGGACAACCTTTAAACCGTGTATGAGTCAGACTGTTATTATGTACAATCTTAATCATTGCATAACAAGCTGAGAATGAAAAACCAAACCCAAACATACATTTAACAGGATATATTTTTAAATAATTTCTTCATTAAGGTTTTTAATGCATGTGTACATGAAAATTTATATTAAAAAATTAAAAAGGAAAATCTTGTTTGTTTAGAATAACTCTGAAGTGCACAAATATTGACAAAAGCTAACAGAAAAAATAATACAGCTCTGCTTTTTTATTAAGTAGTGTTGCAATTACTTAGAGCTGGCAAATAAATGCAATCCTCTGAGTTTTGGAGTCTCACAAAAAGGACAACATTTTATTATATACATAATTCTGATGTGCAAGTATGCAATCAATATGTACACTTACATTCCTAACTGTTTACATCGTTCTAGAGTATTCACAGTAGAGTCAAGCTTAAGGTTAGAAATGTGAAAAGGCCATTAACAGTGAAAGAAAAAATAAACCAAGATATGCCTTGGGATTTTAAGACATTTTAAACTACTTGTTAATAGATTTCAGATGACTAAGCTAGAATTTAATTTTGGAGCAGACTAAAAATATAGTTCTTTTTTAAATAAACAGTAATGCAGTATGCTTGTAAATGGTTTCACAGATGGCAGTATGAGCACAAGCGTTACCCTTCGGTGTCTGATTGTTAAGCACTGCTATGCCTGAGCGAGCCCTGCTGCAGGCACCCTGCTCCTGCCACTCCTCCAGGGACTGCTGTACCTCTGCATGTTTATGTGCATTCCCAGGCCTACTTTGCTCTTGAAGAAAGAAAACCAGTTTGCTTAAGACACGTTCCTTTACGTGGCCATATCTAGTGCTCGCTGTTCATAGGAAGTATAAAAGAGAATGTAAGCAGCTGAGGACTTCACCGAGGACGCCGAGATCTCGGACACTTCATGGTCATCAAACTTAAACCAGCGCTGCTTTGAAGCGTTTTTGCAGTAGGCTGTGTAGTGCCCCCCGTCCAGCCCACCGTAATGATTCTGTGAATGTAAGGCAAGGGTTAGTGGCCTTCAAAGCTGTCCTTTCTTCCCTGGTTAGGGAAATAATCTAGAACATGAAATGTTTACTAAATCCCAATTGTTCTTTTTTAGAATACAACTTAGTCTGCAACGCAGCCTGGCTGAATCCCACAGGCCACCCTGAGTCCTGGCATAAAGTGCAGCTGGGTTTTGAAATGTGACATGGTTACTCACCGATACTGAGAACAGATTGTATCTCTTCAAGGAAGTCTTTGGACCAATAACATACTGAGAGAGGTCAAGAGTTTCCAGTGGAAAATCTACTGAAGTTTGAAGCTTTTGTTTCCATCTTCCATCATAGGAAAATCTAGAGAATTAAAAAGCATCATGAAAAGTTACAAGCTGTTCACAAGCTATTCCACTGTATTAAGCATGTTAGGTTTCCCTGTTTTTAACCAGGATGTGATCTCAACTAAAGCCCCCAGTTCTGTTAACGTTTGCTCATGTGTTTCTTAGCAAAAGTAACAGGAGGTCACTTGTGAAAGTGCCTTGGAAATTACAGCCTTACAAAAGAAGCATCAGATGAAAATCAAATTCTTGCAACATTAGAATTGGTAATGTATCTATCTATGATCTTCTCTAAGTAAAAATGGTCAGCTACTGGCATGGAACAATCCAGTTCCATCAAGGCCTGGTCACTCCATCCTCATTAACATCCACCAATCACCATTTCCTTACCGTTTCAAGTGCACAAGAAGCACAGGTGGTAATTTCCAAATTTCTATTTTTTTCAAAGAGTCCCTTCGAGTTTTGCAATGGCTACAGTAAAATCTATTGTTATCAGTGAGCTTTTCTTCTTTGGAGAACAATCTAAGGCATTCCTGAAACAAAATACAGAGATTGTGAATGGTAGGCATTTATGCAAGTATAACAAAAATGTTTGTTTCCCATTTGGTTGTTAACCTGCATCAGTGATCTGCATTCTACATTTCACTGAGGAAAAGTGACTTAAGTCTATGTGTGGAAGCAAGTTTTACTGCAGATATTAATTAGCATCCTTCAAAATATACAGAATAATTAAAAATAAAAAAACCAGATTCAGATCTGTTCATGTTTCAGGTCAATGCAAATTAAGCAAAATGCTGCCCAACCCCTTCAAGCAGAGGGTGAGCAGAAGCAGCATCACAATGAAGTGCCAGAGGAAGGTTTTCTCTCCATTCCCCATACCTGCAGAGTGCATTTGCTGGAGGATGCAAGTGGTAGTGACAGATACATGAAAGCCTCGAAGGTTCGGGACCTCTTGTGACACGTCAGACACTGCACGGTGGATTTGAACTGCCCTTGGAACAGTGCCACGATGATGGACTCGTTGAGCTGCTTGTGCTTGTGCCAGGCTATTTCTGCTGCGCTTGAGTCATCCAGGTGATCGTTATTTTCTTCCTTGTATCTTTTCCTGTTGTCAGCCTGGATAGCAGACGTTTAAATACCACAGCAATATATTAACATATATGTAAGTAAGAAATCTCATCTACAGGCAAGCCTATGATTGAATATTCACAAGAATATTTAAACATGGCAGTGTAGCCAGCCAGTTCTTGTCTAGTGAGGCTTCCCTCCACTACCTTATACCTTCATACTGACTTCCTACTTTCATTCTGAATAATTGTATTTCTTTCTGTACAAGGTTGCAGTAACATAATCTTATGGAATAAGGAAGTATTAAAAAAATTTCTCTTTATCTTCTGACAGATACATAATTTGTTTTAAGTGTATTGCTTACTTTATTTAGGTCCTCATGCAAGCCATCCATTAGAAAGAGAAGCAATTCTTGGGAGTCCTGTTGGCTATATCCTGCAAATTGGTCATTAATCTTCCCAATTGTAATTTTGAAGTCTTTGGGACTGATATATTTATACTGTCCTGCCCATAAAGCTTTCATTATTACACCAAACTCTTCAGCCACTTCACCTTTATGCCCCAGGAAATTTGACCTATAAAATAAGAAAAAAAAATCTGAGCCACTCATATAACTGGGTTTTAATATTAATCTTTTTAATTCAAAACATGATCTTGATTTTAAGATAATTTCTTTAGACCAAGGAAAATTGGCTGAGTTAAATTTTCATCTATGTCAGCCCTGTAATTTGGTACGACATTTCAGATGGAAGCTACAGCTATTTTCAGCATGTTTTGTGAACTATTTAACTATTCAGTTTGGTTTTAAGAGACTCTAGTACACATGTATTTAATGAATATGGTGACCATAATTTAGTTATCACAGTCCAGTAAAATCTATTTACTGACACACATGAATTTTGAAAATGTCAAGGTGCCTAAAAGTTACCATTTGCCTCCTGCCTGAAAAAACAAACAGCCCCACTAAGTGATTTTGAATTGGCACATATAAAGCAGATG